CTGCTGATAGGGCTCTTCGAAGGCCTGAGCAACAGGGGCTGTCCCACAAGGCACTTTGAGGTGTGTGCTCAAGTATGCCTGGATTTCTGTCTCAGAGTAGCACGGGATAGTAACTTTGTAGGTGTCGAAGGCTGTGATAACATAAGAATTGTGAGCTTTGGCATTGCAAAAGATAATGAATCTGTAGTCAGGGACTGTAGAAGATTGCAGAAAGCGGAAGAAGTGGGACTCTAGTTGTTTGGAAACTTTGTACACTAATTTCTCAGCACCAAGCAAGCAGTAGATTTTCTCATTTTGAGAATCCGATGAAAGAGCTCTCCTAACAATCAGCTCCACTTCTTCCTCCTCTGTGTCGGGTGTGCACACAAGGACCTCATCGTATGTTGGGAGAGGTGCTGTCTTGGTGTGTCTGTAAACAGAAAGCATGTAGAGTAACATTTCTTCTTCTTTACACATGATGAGAGAAGGTTTCCTGGCTTCAAGGCCTACGGGTAAATGTCTCTTGATACATGTGGTTTCAAGAGCTGCTAATTGCTTCAGTGTTTCACCAAAGACATCCAGGCTGATGTATTTGTCTGACACAAGGCCACTGAATTTCTTACAGTAAGCGTCCCAGAGCAGATTCACCTTGTCACAGATGGACGGCAAACTCTCAAAGGACGTGGCCAGTTCATCTTCTGCAAGGTTGCTAAGAGTTGCCTGGTCAGCATCTCTGGTCTCGTTTCTAAACTTCCTTGACTTCTGCAGAAAGGCTTCTCTCTGCTCATCATATAATTTGCTCAGATTTTCAACCTCTTCCTTGTTATTGCCTCGATCAAAGGCAAAATTCATGAGCTTCTGCTCTGTAATGTCAGAATTTGGAAGGCAGCTCTGCAGGGCTGCCTTTGCCACTGACGTATCGTAGCCAGATTCAGTGAGGCTTTTGATGAGCTGGGGAAAACGAATGACATAGTCATGCCAGGTAACAGACTCCTTTAGTCCTGCTGATGTGTTGACAGAGTCAAGTGGAGTCATGAGGGCTTGCTCCAGAGCTTTTCTAACATCTTCTGCTTTAATGTCGTGCTTTATGACAGAAAGCATATTAAGAATCTGTGGCTCTATTACACCATTGCGAGATTTGGCCAGTTGGCTGCATAAATAGAAGAGCTGGTGTGCAGTGAAAAGGTTAAGATGACAGTAGGTGTCCCTTTGAGTCTCCAGATACTTCTTCCACTCTACCAGGCAGTGTTCCATTGCTTTACAAAGGCCATCCAGTTCCTCCAGGATGGGTCTGGTGCTCTGAACAAGGATGCCAGCAATTCCAAATTCTGTATAAACTTTTACCCTGTGTTGGGGATTGCAGTAGATATCAGCCTTCCAGTCTGTGAAGAGGATATTGCCAACACTAAGAAGCTGTAAGTACAACTTTCCAACCATTTGAACCTTTTCCAGGATCTGTAAGATGCCACAGACAAAATAGGGAAACAGATTATCGTGTGTTTTCAACAACTGCAGAATACTTCTCACATTGTATTTTCTTCCAAAGATCTATTAAAACTTGTTAAACAACAACAACAAAAAAGGATTTGGCTCAATTATTACGTACAGGATACATTCCCTGGCCAAGGACATGCTCTAGAAGTGCAAGTTTTCCTGGAAGACTTCTATTACTCTTCAAAAATACCGGTTCCATGGTAACTGACACATGTCTACTGGGGGAAGGAGGTCTATAGAGGAAGGACAGCTGCATTGCCTCAGGTAGCAAGCAAATCCCAGCCCTAAAGATTATGATAAACTTTGTCCCAACCTCAGAATCACCATTCTTGGTGAGGTCTTCTGGCCCTTGTGAGATTTATTCTTCTCTGACTGAAGCACTGCACTGCCTACAACTGATCAGACAGCAAGCAGTAGAGGTGATTCCTCAGGTATGTAAGACAACACCTCACTTCAAACGCCTTCTGAACGAACAGCTTTTATAGGAAATAAGGAAAAGGCATTTTTGGTATGTGAAGCATCTGGCTTGTGGTGAGCGCCCACATTGGCGTGACCTCCACCACATCCCTGGAGTTTCCTATTTCTTTTCATTCACTGAAGTAGGAGCTTAAATGGGTTGCTTGGGTGGACATATCCACATCATTAACATGCAAGTGAAGCCAAGACCTCAGAGAGTTGCAAAGGAATGGCTGTATTTATAATTTGCCTTACATGTGAGATCTGGGAGTCTGCTTCCTGAAGAGTCGGAGCTGGAGTCAAGGATGAATCTCCATGAAAGAATTCTAGCAAAAACCCCATGCCTTATGGACACTGTTTTCCAAGCACATATTGGTGTTTCACTGTGGCTTACCTCCAGGAAGCGGTTTGCCTCCTCTCCGCCTTGCTCAGTTTTTGTGGTGATCAACACAAGCTTGTGCTGGAGCTCTGTGAGCTGAGCCAGGCTGTATTTAGCCTTCAGATCTGTCTGAGAAGCTTCCTCTGTGGTATCCTTCAGCAGTAGCACTGAAATACAGTCCTCAAGGGAAGCCTGGAATGCAGGTAAGAGGATCAGCCCTGCTCTCCCTCTTCTCTGTGTAATTCCCCATCCTTGTGCAAAAAGCCTTCAAGAACAGTAGTAGCACATCCCTGCATATCACAGCCAAACATCAAATTTTCCCATGTCTTAAGATATGGATCATTCCTTCCCTCTTCTATTGTGCAGGACTGACTCTTTCAGGGTATTCTGCAAGCACCACTCTCCTTGAAGTGGCTGTTCTCATTTTAAATCTTTCCCTTTCTTTTTTTTTCACTTTCTCAGTGATCAGGTGAGTTAATTTTTGTGTTAAAATATTGCTTCCTCTCCTCCCTTGGGGACAAAACCTGCCTGTTTTGCCTTGGAAACAACCAAGGCTTAATGGAAAATATGACATGAGGTTGTGCTTCTTTCAAACCTGACTATAGATCTATTGGCTATCTGACATACTCCTTGGAAATGGATTTCAAGAACATTCATTTCTTTGGGCAGAAAGAGCCCCCCGAAAAACAAAAGCACTCTTCAAAGTGTGAAGAACTGTTACCTTGAATTTTTGAGGTGCTGAGACGATAAAAATCCCACTGCTGTTGATGTCTTTGGCTTGAGAGATTGAGGAACACTCTATGGAGCCATGAGAGTCATGAACCATCTGTATCCACTCTTTGTTATCACAAGAATCTTTCTGTTAAAGAAAAAACCCAACATGACAGATTGAAACCTAACAACCAGTTGGCAGCTCTATAAGGACAATTTTGGTAAGAGTGGGGTTTCTTGTGCCTGCTGCACCTGAAGAGAAAAAGCACAACTGTTGTACCCAAATCTGCACCTATCTTACAATCTTTCTGGAAGCCGAAACCAGTGAATATGTATTTTGTGAAGCTGCTGTTCCCTGCCAGTCTTTGGCAATTTGGAGGAAAGGTGTCACTTAAATTATACCCTGAGTAGGATGTTATAGTTTCTGTGGAGAGGATTGTGCAAGCCAGTGCTAGACTAGACTTTCCTAAAACACAGAGCATCATATTAACTTTCTTCTGCTTATGACACCTAATGGGTCTCTCATTTGACCTCACATAGGCATGTGATGTCTTTTAAAGTTTCCCAACTGGACTTCAGTCCCAAATAGCACATACTTCTTGTAGGTCTTATTTCATACCTGCTACACCCACTTGGATGTTTTGACTCCCCTAGGGCATGGCACCAGACTTTGACAATTCATTCTTCTAGTACAAGTCCAAGTAATTTTGGAACATGGGGTGTGTAGACTTACCAACTTCTTGGGCAGATTATTGTCTTTTGCGGTGGCTTCACTGATGAATGATAGTGCTGCAGAGAGCTGTTCAAATCCAGATGTGGGTGTCAGGTCAAATATAATGGGTGCTGAAGCAACCATGGCATCACGGAAGAACCGCACTTTATCAATATCAATGTCATTTTCACCTGCAGAAATTGATGCCAGTTCCACAAACACAGGGATTTCTGTTTTATCTGGAAAAAAAGAAAAAAAAATCCAAAAATGAAACACATAGTTGAAGTGTTTCATAGTTGACATAGTTGAGGAGTTCTCATAGTTGATTCATATGATGCCTCTGGCTGTTGTGACAAGTAGGAACTAACTGATCCTTTTCTATTGCCTCTGTTACCTGATGATTCTGTTGCGTCCCAGTACAACTCACCTTTTATTATGGTTTTGATCCAAGAGACAAAGCCTGTCCTTGTGCATTCAAGAAGTTCCCTCAAAAAGTCTAACATTTCTTCTGGGAGGTTGCTCAAGCTATTTTTCACCTGCATTAAGTCCTGGGTCATATAATCAAGTCTCTTATTCCTGAATTCCTGCTCTTCCTGAAAAAAAACCAAAACACAACAAACAACCAAGACATACTGGTGTGTATACCATGGTAAGAGAAAAGGGAAGGTAAGCTCTGCCTCTGCCTTGCACGTCAAAGTTTCATCAGCTACTCAGGGTCTTTTTCAAAGGGCCAGCTAGCTCCCCAGAGACTCCTATTCCTCTCATCCAATCTATTTTATAAACCTAGTCTGGTTATTTCAGTAAAAGTCCCTGAAGGAGAGGCACAGAGTGACGATACAAAATTTGTCTGATGTCTGTATTGAAGTCCTGATCACTAATAGGACCTTTCCACAAAATTTACAAGGTCTGCTCCAATTTTAAATTTCTGGAGAAAGTTATCCAAAAAATGGAAAGTTATCTGAAGTACAAAAAGTCATGGAACATCCAGCTGCTCCTTGGGAGCTACCCATGCAGTGCCCCATCGTTGCTACCACAATAGAAAGTTTATGACAATATAACCCAATAACAAGGGTTGGAGCAATCAGGCATGGAGATCAGCAAAAAAGAAACATGTGGAAGCCAAATGAAGAATTGCTGGAGTTGGTAGAGAATGTTAGGTTGGGATCTGTTATTTAACTCCTGGAGTTTTTAGCTCCTGGTTGTGCCAGGAAGTTTCCATGGAGGTTGTGAAGCTAATACTTCCCTGTCTATTCCAGATCACTTGATGCAGAATTTGGTTCCTGACACACACAGATGCCTGCATCCGTTGGCCTCACACAGTTGCCTCAGATGCCCTCGGGCATCTCTAATAGCACTGAGAGCTCATTTGCAGGCAACCAAGAGTCTGACTAAGGCTGAGCTGAATCATGTTCCTGACTCCACTCACTACACTATAAAGGTGCCACGCTAAAAGAGAGACTGCTACAACTGTGAAATTTTTATTCCAGAAGAAAGATTCCATCCACTGTGTCCAGTGTGATTTAAAGATAAGACACATGAAAACAGAGGTTCCCCATTCAGGCCTGCCAACACAGAAGCCACAAGAGCACTCAGTATAAGCCAGATATCCATGTGCAGCCTACATACATATTTTGTTAGGTCGTTGAGAATCTGAAAATTTCCATTAAGCTCAAGTGTCTTCCGCAGTTCATCAATCATCTTGGCAGTGTTCACCACTGTAGACAGGGTCAGGTAGTTTTTAATCTTCTCTACTGCAGCATCTATCCAGGCAGCTTTTCCATTCTCTTTCCCTTCGCTCCTCTCCATAATTTTAAATTCCTTTGTGAGTTGGCTTTCATTTGATAACTGCTTCTCAAAATGGCTCTGCACAGTCCCAAGGGTGATGGAAAAGTCTTTGAGGGCCAGATAGGTACTCTGAAATTCAGCAATGGCTGGCTTATAAATGTTTTCTTGCACATCTTCTATCAAGAAGAAAATTTTCTTTTTGGGAATTATGGCTTTGATTTGCTTTGCTTTTTGCTTTGCTTTTTGCTTCCACAGTCTCCGAAAATAATTGCTTTCCTCTAAGATATGAATTTTTTTCATCATCTCACTGTATTTTGCAAGGAAGTGCAATTTAGGAATTTTATTGCCATTCACAGAGAATATGTTTGCAGACATCTGATCCTTAAAACTTCCTCTTTCACTGATGCTTTTCTCCACAGCACTTCTATCCACTGAACAAAATGGAAAGAAAAAAATCAGTGCGTTTCTCCAGCTAGAAAGACACTTACCCTCTAAGTATGGAAGTGTTCTGAACCTGACTGCAAGACCAAAGAGGTAGAGATGTGTGTGGTGTGTGTGTTTGTTTGTTTATGGCAAAGTTCTTGGGCAAAACTGAAGCCAATTTCAACACCAAAACAAATGGTGGGCAAAATCAATTTCTCCATGATGAGAAAGGGAGCCTTCAAACCATATCCTTGAAATCTGTAATAGTGTCTGTACTGTTGGAAAACAACTTGGCCCTGAAGTAGAAGTTGAGGAGACTTACTCCACCATTTGGCCAACTCAACCTTACATGTCTCTTAGAAAAATTAAGTACCTGACACTGTTTAATATTCCCCAGTGCAACAGATTTTCCCACTATTCTGAACTCCTTCCATGTATAAACCCTTACAAGCCTTTCCCCACTCCTTTTTTTCCTTAAACAGCTCCCTGCTTACTCTCTCCTCCCAACTACTGTTTGCCACTAGACAGTCATGCAGCACCATTTTCTGGAGGATTTGCTACTAGCTCTTTATTTCAGGAGACAGTTCCCCTTGCAAAAAACGCATAAGCAATCACATCTTCTCAAATTCAATGGGTTGGTACCTCTTATGACACCATCTATGCTGCTGCATAGACGCAGAAATGAGCGCCTGTGCTTCTTCTGCTCTTCCAGTTGCTCATATTCCTCCTTTCTGTCTTTCAGCACTGTTGATATACAGTTGGAGACAGAGGAATCTGGGGAAAGAAAAAAACAAAAAACACCCATGCCCAGACCTCAGATATAAAGGATTTTTGAGAAAAAATCACTTGGAGGGAGAGAAGAACTACTGGAAACATAACAATGGCCATTAAAAAAACCCCACCATGCTTGAATTTGCACAAAGGATGCGTCACTTGGTCTAAAAGCAGCAGTATCAAACCAGAGCCATTCTGATGTGATCACTGCCAAAGTCTGAAACACTCTGAGACACATGGATGAAGTTTATTACTGCAGAAGAACTGGAAAGAAATTTCTTCCAAGTTTTTGTAAAATTTAGGCAGATTTTGAAACTGGCCTGTGACCTTGAAGGTTATTCTGTAGCCAGCATAAATAGCAACAGGAAAACAAAACCACTAAACTAAACTAAGCTGAGTGGTGCAGTTGACATGCTAAAGGACAGGATGCCATTCAGAGGGACCTGGACAAGCTTGAGAGGTGGGCCTGTATGCAAGGTTCTGCAGCTGGGTTGTGGCAACCCAGGCTGGGGAGTGAAGGGATTGAGAGCAGCTCTGCCAAGAAGGACTTGGGGGTACTGGTGGATGAAAAACTGGACATGAACCAGCAATGTGCTCTTACATCCCAGAAAGCAAATCGCATCCTGGGCTGCATCAAAAACAATGTGACCAGCAGGTTGAGAGAGGTGGTTCTCCCCCTCTATTCTGCTCTGGTGAGACCCCACCTGCAGTACTGCATCCAACTCTGGGGCCCCCAGCGTAAGAAAGACATGGACCTGTTGGAGCAGGTTCAGGGGAGGGCCACAAAAATGATCAGGGGGCTGGAGCACCTCCCCCGTGAGGACAGGCTGAGAGAGTTGGTGTTGTTCAGCCTGGCGAAGAGAAGGCTCTGGGGAGACTTTACTGTAGGGGGGGCATCAAGAAAGATAGGGACTAACATTTAGTAGGGCTCGTTGCATTAAGACAAGGAGTAATGATTTTAAACTAAAAAAAGGGTAGATTTAGACTAGATATAAGGGAGACAATTTTTTATGATGAGGGTGGTGAAACACTGGCACAGGCTACCCAGAGAAGTGGTTGATGCCCCATCCCTTGAAAGATTCAAGGTCAGGTTGGACGGGGCTCTGAGCAACCTGATCTAGTGGAAGGTGTCCCTGCTCTAGACTAGACAACTTTTAAGGATGCCTTCCCACCTAAACCATTCTATGATTCTAAAAATGCAAACAAAATTCTATAAATAAATCATAAGAACACTGCAATATTTTAATTGCTATCCACTGCACAGAAGAAGAGTATTATTTTCTGTCCTTCAGAGAGTTAACACAGCTTAAAAATATTGCCTGTATTTAACTTTTGTATTTTTTGCCTTTATGTTTGTTCTCTTGCATAAAATTTTTTGTTTTCTTTGTATTTTAGGTACCTTTTCAATAGATATATTTTCTATTGGCCCCATTGCATAGGAAAACACACCATACAGAACTATTGTTTTGGGAAATAAATCTAGAAACTATCGGCTTACCACAGATGCACAGTATATTCTGAAATAGCACTTGATGCTGTAAGATAATTGACAGTATGTTGCAGGGGATGTCTCCTGAGAAAACTTGATGTTTCAAACTGCAGAAGAAACTGGCAAACTGGGAAAGCAGGAATTTTGCTTTTTCATTAATCTGATTTTGAAGCTTGTGCTCCGATTTTTCTGTAAAATAGATGAAATCAAGTGATATCCAAAAGAAGCAGTTTCCCCACTGGATTTCTTTTTAACAGACATCCTCAGGATGAGTAAACAGCTTTGCAGCACACTGCCTCCAAACCATGAATCGCAAGGGGATCTGTTACAGCCACCTTTGTGGACTTTACAGGTTTGGTTGTTTTCAAATTAAGTGGCCAACACCAGCATATGGGAAAAATGTTACTTTGTTCCCAGTCAATATGAAACAGCACTTTTCAGTTGTTTCAGGTACACGAAAACCAGAAGATATCTTTAGAGAACCCTGGCCTAGCTTTGGTTATAGTCCTCCTTCATGCAGGAGACAAACCTCTGGAGTGCTTCAGTTAGCATTTCTGTTGTTTTTTTTTTTTCCATTTTCAGGTGTTTCATTTTTTAAATGAAACATCTCCCATGAATGTGCAACAAACCACGATTTTGACTGGAAAAAGAAATTGAGATGCTTCTTAGTTTCTGAAATGAAACATCATTTTTCCAGGATATGTGAGTATTTTGTCCCTTCCATTTTGTTTTGGCAACAAACTTGGAAGAACTTTGAACAGAGCTGGTGAAACCTCATATTTCTTTTAGCAAAAGAAAGGACTTGATCGCAAACTTCACCCAGCTCCGTGCCTGTGGGATTTTAATGATACATGCGTCAGATGTTGCTTGGCTTTCAGAGCCCATCAAAGTTCACTTCCAAAACAAGAATTTTGAGAACGCCACTCTGTGGGAAACTCACTGAAAGTGGAGAGGAGATCATAGACCACAGAAGAGCTGAGAACCTCAGTGAGAATTGGGCCTGTGCTGTCAACAAATCTGTCTCCTTTTTCCAACATGTTCATATTGTCTGAGAATATTTTCTCAATAACAGCAGAAAGCACTTTCCCGACAGTGGACCTGTTTGTCTTGAGGACTTTGGAAACCATTTTTCCTACCTGTAAGAACAAGAAGTTTCTTCTCTTAGTTGTAAATAGGCTTCGCAGAACCTGTAGCTTTACAGAAAATTCCTCTCCCACTCCATTAACCCACCACAGACCAAATAAGCACAGCTACCAAAGTCGGTCAGCTTGGTATGGCAGGAGGTAGAAACTCCCAGATATGCAAGAATGGGTGGTGGTATTTACATAAAAACTCTGTACCTCACTTTTCTCAAAGCATTCAATCCTTTGAATGACACAATCTGTAAAACAGCTCTCCAGATTTGTATTCCAGCACTTGTCCTTCTTCATGAATTCCAAGTAGAAATCCAGAAGTTTTCTGCCATCTACCTGCAGAAATGAAGTGTTTAAGCTGCAGATGCCTTCTGGGGCTCTGCCAAATATCATTGAGTTCTCACAGTGGGTGAGGAGTTATGTCCCTCTACACCGGCAAGGAGCTGAGTGCTTGAGCTCCTATTGTCCAAACACTGACTGTGACAAAACAGAGCATCCTGAGGTCAGGAGAAGTCTGAGCATCACTCCCCTGCTTGGAGTTAAGTAACTATAACTTACTTTCCCCAGCCATCTTTCAACCATGCTGTATATCAGGCGTTGCCATTTCTGGGTCCATTCCACACAGAGGATCTCAAACAAGAACAGCTTATGCCATACCTGTGGCAGAAAAGCAAAGCTGGTCAGCTGAGCCTCAAGGTATAGACAGACCTTCCAGGGTGGGTGGTTATCCCTTGTGTGCGTTCTTGCTACTCACATTGATGTTCTCTAGGAACTGCCTATTTTCCGTGGGTGGCCTGGGCAACGATTTTTCCAGCCACTCGCTGATGTAATCTCCAAACTCATTGAACCTTTCTGAAATAAACTGCTGAAATTCCTTGGGAAATGAAAAAAAAAAAAGGAGAGAATTGGCAAGGAGAGCCAGATTTTCACTTTGGCTTTTGATCCTTAACTGCTGTGTACAAAATGAAAATGAGGTCCTTCCCACAACCATCAAGGGCCTCCAAGAAGAGAAATGGCTGGCACACTCTGTGATACTAACAGCTTTGTTTCAACCTCTCTGTCCATTCAAACCCTCCTCGTTCACCCCAGCACAAAGTCTGACAAGGCTGGAATAAGTAACTGAGAAAGGTAGCTACATGCTCTGCTGTCACTCCTACAGTTGGCCACGTTTGAATGAAGCAAACCTGAACTCCTGGACCTTCTTAGCTAAAAAGACAGGGGTGCATGTCTTCATGAAAGCTATGAGTATTGTTTTTACCTGATTTGCTTGCAACACGTCTGATTTTGCAGCAAACATGTGAAGTATCCTTAGCAGTGACATTATCAAGCTAAATGGCACTGCATGCCACTGCTTTAAGGAAAGTGAAAGCAACGCATATGTTGAAAGCAGACACGGCATGGCATCCTCCCTATTTGTGGTGTTTGTCAGCTGCTCCGTACTCCCTGGCAGGCACCTGTGAACACGAAAAAGCACTGTACACCTCTTGTGTTAATTCTAACATTAGTTTTAAAAAATGGTCAACAAACCCTTGAGCTTAAGTGTCCTTCATTTGCTGGACAACACTATGCAATTTCAGCCAACCAGGGCCACTTATGTGTCTGAATTTGGAGCTGAATCCCACATCATGAGATGGAGGTAGACTGTCTGACAGAATAGATTTCCCTGTCGACCTCCTTCCCACATGATACACCTCAGCCTCAGAGGGATTTAAAAGATTATGACATCCAACTAACAAAGCAAATTACTACAACCTCCCTTGTTCTGCTCAACCACAAGTCTAGCCATTCTTCCCACCTCCTCCACAGAGCTGTCCTAGTATTTCTCCTCTCAAAAGGTTAGCACTTACAAGTCCTCGAACCAGAATTCCATCCTTTTGGCAATGTTGTTCAAAACTCCATTCAAATCCTTTTCCTGAATAGAGGGTAAAAACATACACCGAAAACAACTGTGAAAACACATCCACTCCTAGAGCTAAGCAGGTCTCTTATGAAAACTGGCAAGTGTTAAACCTTCAGAGAATTTTTTTTCTGCCAATGTTTGATTAAAAAACAAAACAAAACAATGCTTCCAGATGAAAAGGCAGATCTAGCTCCAACTAGAACAATCACTTCAAATCCCACAGAAGCTATCTGTCTTCAAGACCTTCGGAGTTCAGAGAATGGTGTGGGAGGGCTTAGCTCAGATTTTTTCAAGTACAAATCAGAGTGTGTTGGGGTTAAACCCTCTAATAAGACCCAAGAAGTAGGTTTTAGGTGGAATTCCTCTCCAGGGCCTCAAAGGATATTACAACAGTCTCATTAAAACATAAGTGCAAATGACAGAAAGCAGGTTCCCAAAAATGCAAGTTAGAACTTTAACTTCCTTCTTTCATCCTTTCCAACTTTCAACGAAGTTCCCACTGCTTGATCACCCCAGTGTTCATTTTGGGTACTGCTTTCGGGGACAGGATATAAAAATTGCTTAAAGATTCTGATTAAAATTTGCTCGATACAGCATTTGCTAGTCATTTTCCAACCAGGACAAAAGACAATGAGATCCCCTTGCCTTTTCTCTTTTGCTACTTCTCTCAAAACATGGGTACTGAGCTTGCTCTAGGTTCCTATGATTCAACCCTTTTGGATTTGTTGAAAATTTCTTCAGAAGCCAGGGAGACTTTCTGGCTCACTTGTTACAAATCTGCACAACTTTCCATAACATAGGAAAGAAACACTAACAAGAAGTTGATCTATTACTGCATTGTCTGATTGCCTTACGTGCACTTGGGATGGTTTACAGAGGATGTTAACAATGCGTTGGTACACAGTATCCAGGAGAAGCTGAGGTGGAAGCTTGATTTGGAGCAGGGAGTCCTTGGTGAAATTCTTCAGTGCCAACATCTCCAAGACTGTCTTTGCCAGTGGAAAGCAGCTTTCAATTAATGACTTGTGAATCTCAATCATTGCCAGGACTTTCCTATGAAAATGGAACATCAACAGCAGATGCTCTTTGGAGCATCAGGAGGCACTTTATGCTTTCTTATACACTCCTGTGGCTGGCAAACATGGCACTGGACTGAAAGAAGAGGTGTCTGGACACTGAATGGGATACCTGGAATTTTATAGCAAATGAATTTACACAGGGGTTTTTTGAGGCTTTTAAAGAAGAAATTCTGTGTTTGAGACTTTCAGTCCAGGTGACATCATCTTGTGTGAATACACATATGTGCCTTTGCTTCCTGTCTGGTTTGCCTGCAGACAGTATAATTTTGTGTGAGCCAAATTTTCTCCCTGTGAAACAGTGCCCAAATGAGGATCTAGGGATAGTTCTCTTCCTAAGGCCACTCCCAACAGGCTGTCTGAATGAGACTGTGCAGTCCTCAGTTCAGACTTCCCCTTCCTTCAATTCACTTCAGACATCCTCCTTCCAGTTAGAGTCCAGGCCAGGAGTAGGATGTATGAGAAAGGCAATGGCTTGCATCCCAGGGAAGAAACACAAAGTTTCTAGTGGTTGCAACTCCACAATCAAGAACAATGAAAAATTATTCTAACAGTACAATAGCTTGTTTCCCTGATCCAGCCTTGATGCTCTCTCCCTTCAAACCTACCTCTGCTTCTCTTCATCATTTCTCAGATGCAAAAAGTATTGTAAGGGAATGGTTTCTGGAAAGAAGGGGTCCTCTGTCTTCTTTGTGATTGCATACAGCAATGGAATCAGCCAAATCCACAAAATGTTGTCTTCATTTCTTAAGCAAATTTCCTTCACAGCTAAACTGTAATGGCTGAAAAGAAAGATAACCACCAAAAATCTCCATCAGTGGTCTGAGCTCCCATAATCACTCCTAGGATGGCAGTGGGAGCTGTGTGTTTTCCCCTCAACCCGATGGCATTCATCTAGCCAACATGTAGATGCATGTGGGTGTGTGAGAGCAAGAGCTTGGTTCTAGAGACTTTATCAGCAGGCATTAATGTACAACAAATAAATCCCACCCCAGCTTTCCCAAAACAGTCTCCCTCCATAAGTTCTATGTAGAAAAATAAAATCAAAAGAAAAATAACTGAAATGATATAGGTTACATCAAAACAGCACGACAGAATATAGTAATCTGACTTTGTGGTCTAATATATCCATTTTTGTAGGGCTCAATTCAACTGTCTATGCCAAAGTTTCTGATTCTGTTTGAGAGTCTGGGACATCCAAGACAGATCTACAGTGTTTTCAGATATGAACCAGAACTTCTGGGAGATATTAATCCTTTCAAATTGTCAGCAGGAGGCTTGGTGACATAGCACATGGCATCTAAGACAACACTGATGCACAGCTGAGTCTTGGATCTCCAAAGATTATAACAGAAGCACAGACACCTACAGTGCACATAAATATAAGGGTCTGAATCTCAAATCAATCCCTGCCAAAAATAGGACCTATGGCTCTACTTCCATCAGAAACTTGGCAAAGGGGACAGGCTGCACAGGTTATGACAGCCAGTGGCAGAAATACACCTAGGAAGCATTGAAATTCTACCTCTATCTTCACATAATTGCTCCGTAGAGAAAATGGCCCAATGAACTGAATGACTACAGAGGATCTGTAACTCAAGAGAGTAGGATGACACTTTTAATTACCTCTTTCCCCTCAGATGCTTGAATTTGCCTTGAAACGGGCCAATGTCCTGGAAGAGTTTTTCAGCCTTGACGATTATCTCTTTGCTGAGTGGGATTTTATAACAAGATAAAATGTGTAAGGCAAAAAGCAGCCCATCATCTTTATGCTCCTCTTTCTCCAGGAATCCAATGATCTTGTCCATGAACTTTTTCATGTTATCACGTAACTGGACAATGAGAATAAGGAAGAGGTGTTTCACCAAGATAGTCAAGACAATTTTACTTGAAGGTAAAGCTGGGAATGGTTCAGGAAGGAGGACAGAAGATAGAAGTTGCTAAGAATTATTATTTGGAGGCAAAAGACTTGCTGTTAGATAGCACTACCCCAGGCAGAATGTTTTCCTGGCTGTCACAAGTTTACCAAGCAGTTTTTATGTGCTGAATCCACACCAGCACTAGGAACCTATTAGCCATCTATTCTAGGATGCTCAAGCACTACCATAGATGAAGTACAGGTAAGCAGATCTTCAGTCTCCCAGCTGAGTTGGGAAATCAAAGGTGATCAAAAGGAATAGCAAACATTCCCTCAGAAGCCTAGGATAGTGTCGGAGTATGATTCCATGACTGAGAAACCCAAAGGGCAAATAAACAACTTTCACCTAAGCAGAGATGCAGCACCTGCCACTCAACTCCTCTCATTGTGATTTCCCTACGGATGACTTGCAAGGCATTGCTCCGCATCTTGTGTAGCCTGGGTATATTTCAGGCTTTCCACTAAGTGGAAAGGATGACCTCTTAGGATACCTCCACAATGTACCTAGCTGTTTGTAATCTAGGTACCCAGCCCTCTTCTGGATGTACCCTGCTGACTCCCTCTGAGGCAAGCCTCAGACCATGCCACGTGGATGTGGCACCTCAGCTCAAACAGGACTTCCACTAAACAGCATAGATGGGTTGAGCCCAGCCAACAGACAAACACCCATGAGGCTTCTCACTTAATCTCTTCTCCTGTGGGCCAGGATGAAAATAGAAGGAAGAGGACTCGTGAACTGAGATAATGACAGTTAAATGGAGAAAGCAAAAGCTGTGCACATAAACAAAGCAAAAAGGACTATTTATACACTGCTGCTCATTGGCAGGCAGATGTCCAGCCCCTTCCTGGATGACAAGGCTTCAGCATGCATAACAGTTGCTTGGGAAGACAAATGCCATAACTGCAAACTTATCTCCTTCCTCCTCATTTCTCTGAGCTATTATTGCTGAGGACAACATCATATTGTATGAAATATCTCTTTGGTCAATTTTGGGTCAGTGTCTTGGTTATGTCCCCTCCCAACCTCTTGTCCACCACTATCATACTCACTGTGGGGAGCAGAGGGGAGAGACAAATCCTTGATGTTGTACAAGCACTGTTCAGCAACAGTCAAAACACTCGTTTGTTATGAACACTGTTCTAGCCACAAATGCAAGACACAGCACCATATGCTATAAAGCAATTTAACTCCATCCCAGCCAGACCTAGTAACATCTCAGACAGAAGCCAGGCTGGCATGGGAGTGAACATCAGTGGTCTCCTTTAGCCATGGAAATTTTGCCTTTTTATTGCATTTGCAGGATAGGGATTCACTTCCATGAACAATGAGATTATTGACTTAAAACTTTCTTCCAGGATTATTGCTCAATCCATGGGAAGAGATTTTGTCCAGGGCAAAATTCCACCTGTCCACCCTACGATAAGACAAACATCCTTCCCTTTTGTCTCTTGCAGATGGATCTCTGCTAGTAAAAAAGGGAACTGGGGAGCAGGGTGTGCCCGGGTGGACCTGTTAACACTGAAAGTAGTACTCGGCTCAGGGAAGTAAACACCTGAAAAGCAATTTCAGCCCAGAGAGGATCCATCATTGCAGTCGATAAGGACTGATAAGCTGTTCCTCTGACCAAACGTCAGTGCCTACTGGATGGTTGACTCTCTCTCCAATCCTTTAGTGACTCTGTTGACTACTTCTCAGCACCTACAACAGAAGCTAAGACATACAGCATGTATGCACCCAGGTATTTTTCAGTATGCCAGTTTTATTTTAGGTGTCTGCAACCTTAAAATGCATCCTACCTTTGGTTCATACCTATGAGAAGTCAGTCAAATGTGAATCTAATTTTAGACTTTAAAATGAGGCAATGAAGCCAGAACATAACTGCATGTGAAATTATTTTTTTTCTGTGCAGGATTCTCAAAAACATGGTAGTCTTTCCATAACCCAGACTCAAAGCTGGTTGTACAAATGACACCATTTGGGTCTGATTCCAATAGAATCACAGAATCATAGAGTGGTAGGGGTTGGAAGGGACCTCTGGAGATCATCTGGTCCAACCCCCCCTGCTAAAGCAGGTTCACCTGGAACAGGTTGCCTAAGACTGCATCCAGGTGGGTTTTGAATATCTCCAGGGAAGGAGACTCCACAACTTCTCTGGGCAGCGTGTTCCAGTGCTCTGCTACCCTCAAAGTAAAGAAGTTTTTCCTCATGTTCAGGTGGATCAGAAGATGTCCTTTGACCTCATCAGGCTTTGGGTCCAACTGAAAAACTGAAAAAAGCAATGAAAATAAGGTCTGATGTTTTGATGTTCTCTGGCTGTGGTTCAGAATGAACCCTACATGGAATTAGAGGTAGCTACAGAAATTTCTCTTCGGGCGTCTGTCTACCTGGAAAATCCTTGCTACTTTGGCTTGTTGTACACTTACCACTTGCTCAGGAAGATTAATTGGAGATTGGGTATTTCCTTTTGCTGCATCCCCAAGATAGATTTTGAATGTCTCCGTGTAGATCTTCAGTTTCCTTTCTATGTTCCTAAAGCCCTTCTGGAGCCTGATGGGCTGGAGAAATTCATCTGCAAGGTGTTCTACGATACCATAGTTGACTGACTTTCGGGGTACTGTTGTTGAAGACCAGAATTTTGAGTAACTTTTTTTTTTCCCCTGAAAATAGCACTTCATATTTTCAAAAATGGTCCATGTTCCTGGGGAGAAATCAGAGTTTGTGAATGAACCTTCAGACCCGTAAATGAAGAGCATTAAACTAGCCCTGAGCTAACAATACCAATTGCTTTATATGAATGCCAAGCCCAGCTGAGCCATAACTGAGCCACTAACGTACAAATCTCACCATGTATATTTAAATTCAGCCCTAGGTTATCTCACCTACACTTTAGGTGGGCCTAGTGTCCATAGCCTATGGCTGATTCAATTGCCCAAATAATAGGCCTCTACTACTTTTTGAATCATCCTGGCATATTCAAAACTTCTGTACAGTGTGGTAGATCTGACACTGGACCTCCAGCTAACCTGCACCCTTCTGGAATGTTAACTGAAGGCCTGACGGTAAACATAAAGGTGATTCAAGGCTTCATTACACACTCTCCCTTGCCCAACAATGAAAAGTCTGAGTTTAATCTGGGAAAAAATAATATAACTTAAATACTCCTTCCAGAATACTTTGTGTTTGTGTTATATAAAGAATTTGTTTGTGTTAAATAAATAGCCCATAAGCCTGTGTGTCAAAAATCCTCACAATAACAATGCTTCTGTTGTAGGAAACAAGTGCTTCCCCACTGTGAAGCAAAACAAAGGAGAGTTTATAGTCACCTGCTGTGTGCAAGAATTTGCTGTTCACCCCAGTCCAAGCTTTGAAGAAAGTACAACACTTACCATCTGCTTTGATCTTTTCCTTGGGAATGTTTATGACTCGATGTAATTGACTCTCTGTATTCTTGGAATCCGTATCATAAATATGCTCTAAATCACACAATCTCATTTCATAGTCAGGTAAGAGCACATTGTTAAGGATAGCATATTTATAAAAAATTGGTCCTCTCTGTAGGTCAGAAATGGGGATCATTGCATGGCCCGTGATCACTTTTCCTCTAGAACAGAATAAAGAAGGTGATTAATTATTTACTACACCACAAGGAGCTTCCATCAGTTTCAACCCTAGATGGACTTTGGCTGTACAGATCAGTTCATGCAGCAAGAATGGGCAACCAACATTCAGTCAAAATGCAATGTCTGGCAAAATGCCTCTGGCCTTTGTAATGGCAGATAAAAACTTGACACTCTGACCTGAGCTTGAAGATTTATCAGATAGGAAAGAAATAAAAATAACTGCTAAGAAATCTTGATGTGAATAACCCTGCCCCCAGCCAAAGTTGCAGCTGCCTTGTAAAAAGGATGGGAAATACATCTAGAGATATTCCTGAGCAACTGTACCAAAACTGAGGTGACCCTATTCACTCCATCTTCTCTCATGCAAGGCATCTGGTGACATTTGGGAAGCTCCATAATGTTTTAGACCTCCGTGCAGATCTGGTAGACCTGACACAGGACCTACAGAAATTAAACTTAACACTATAATTCAGTTCTACAGACACCTAAATTTAGATGTCTTTGTCCCAGGCTAAGACCCTAAAGTTGGGGTAAGCTATATGCTTTCCAAAAATGTGACATCAACATACGTTTGTGTACGATTTTTACCTTTTTTTCAGAACAGCAAATTCCTGGTATTGTCCAGGTTGCTTGTAAAAAGCAACACAGATCTTGGATGTCTCTTCAGAAAACCTGAACTTTTCTGACGTTACAGCCACAAACTCTAGTGTCATTGTTTCTTCTATTCGAAGTCTTTCATTGAACAGATACGGATTCTCTAGGCAGCTATTGGAAGGGAAAGAAATAGCGTAAGGTCAACATCAAGCCCCCTTCCACCACTTCACCTGGTCTGTCTCAGGATTTCAAGGCAACATTCAGACACTCACATGCATTTCTCCCAGCTTCTGGCTGCAGCTCCTGGAAGAGGATTATCTTCCACATAATTTCTTCCAGTCCTGTACAAATATCCTGATTACCATAAAGCATTTACAGTGGTCCCAGCAGCTCACATGCAAGTATCAAACCACTGTGTGAATAACACAGATATAGACAGCATGCTGTAGACCAAGGGGCATTGCAAAGAGACTGACTCCTGTCCTGGAGGGCCTCTACCTGTCTCCATCTCCATCTGCTGTGGAGGAAGGAGTTTAAGGGTGAAGTAGCCTTACAGTACTAAACCTACACCTCCTCCCAAAGACAGTTCTTTTCCCAGGAAGCTCCCAGATCTCACGCTTCTTAAGGTCTGATGGAAATCCCATAGCATAGATCTCCACTTAACAAACCTGCTATTGGCTCCTAGGTTTTCTTTGCTTTCACGGTCATCTGCAAGTAAGGAGAATGCTTGGGTTAACATCAGCAGAAGATGCACCAGGTCAAGAGAAACTAGAAGGCAGTGGCATACTGGGAATGGGAGAGAAGCTCTTGAACTTAAAATCCTCACAGCTTAAGTATAGTCCTCTGGGTCTTTGAATCAAGAATCCCAGCTCACTTCTTGTGTGACCTCCTACCTATCTTGCCAAGCTCCACCAATGCTTGGTACAGCTTTCCTGGGGATAGGGACACGGACCAATCTGCGCTTCTGGGAGCGAGGGTGGGGACAGGGAATGGGCCTAAGGACAATAATTAGCACACCCCACACTGGTGGAGTTAGGATGGGGGCAATGGGAGGAAGGATGACATGTACAATTACACTGAACAATCAGCTTTGAGGCTTTTCTTACCAATTATCTTTCTCCTCCATGGACAGTAGCTGGTAGCAAGCCAAGTACCTCTAGGCATTCAAACAATTTACATATGGCATTGCCAGGAGCCTCTGACTCCCAGCCAGGCCCTGCACACTCAGGCCTGCTCTTTACAATAGTCACAGATGGGAATGCTAAAATACATTCATCAGTTACCTCTTCTGTTACAGTTTCTTTGCTCCACTGGTTCCTCTCTTCTCTGGTGACCCAGGATCTTATTCTTGGAAAATAAAGTTTTAAAGTTAAAGAAAAGGAGACCCCCAGCAACGATTCAAACCTAAAAGCCCGAATGACAGAAGAGGCACACGGCCAGAGAGGGTGCAGAGCTGAAGAAGTCATTCAGCCTTTCTTCCAATATTTCTTTTCACGGTTTCTGCTTTGCATGCGCCACATTATGAATGCAAAGAACAGAGTCGTATCTCAGCGTAACTGCAAGTGAAATCAGGTTATCACCTTGCAAACTCCATGCTAGTGACCTCCTGTACCCAAAAAACCAATGCTATCCTGCATGCTGTAGGAGTGGAAAATACAGCCCTTATCCATTGTCCTCAGGGGTTCCCAAGGAGTTCAGCCATGAATGAGTGTGCTCTTTGACCGTTACAGTGTGATTCCCACTCAGAAGGCATTCTGGTTTCCTTGAATGCTGGGAGTCCTGCATTTTTGATAGCCCCACTTGACTGGAATAATGCTCCCTCGCCACTGACACAGCAGACTGCTGTTGGTATGCCAGGAGTTGTTTGGTACAGGTCTCCTATTGGGATGGGACAGCTGGGCCATAGAAAGGAGAAGAATATGTGTACTGATGGCGGTAATTAGAGTTTCCCGGCTGTGTGCCACATCAGCCCAGGTCTCCACCAGTGTCAAAGGGCTTTTGGAGGAACTCCAGCATTTAAGACCATGTCAAAGCAAAGCATGGCTGTGGCCAGGCCAGGAAATAACTCCTACTGAACCAGACAAGAAAAAGACATATACAGAGTAGTTCCTAATATTGTTTGTCTCTGCAGTAGGTGCACCCGCCCCAATAAAGACCAAAACTTCTTGACTGCTGAGAAGAGAAAAAACCACTAGAAGCTGCAGTTTGGGGGTTGAGCTGCCCAGCCTGCATGGTCACTATGGTCATATACCCACTTCAGTTGCTGACAACTGTCACATCCACACTTAGGTTGAAAGGCAAGGCCCTCAGCCAATGAAACACCTCAGTCGACAGAAGTTTCTAGACCAATGATCATATATGACTATAGATCCAATTCAACTAGGGTATAAATGGATCCTCATAGGAGGGCAAATTGAGCCAGTCCTCCTTGGAGCAGTGGGTCTGCAGTCGGGGACTCTCTTCTTAGGTTGAGATGCCTTCTAAGGAAACCCCTTGAGATTGAGAGCCCTAATCTTTTAGGTGAGTCATCTGCATATTTTGGGTCAGCATTTCTAAAGCTTAAGAGTTCTTAAGTCGCTTGTGCAATATTAACCTCATCTTACATCCTGAACCTGTTTGCTAATGTTGTCAGTTCTAAACAATTTTAATAAAAAATAAATCTCGTTAAGTTTAACATCTGCCTAATTCGATTGTGTGAGCCTCCATGACAGTCCCAAAGCAGAAATACTGGTGGCACAGAAATCCCAGGCTTTTAGAATATTTTAGCCCAATCCAGTAATGCCCAAATGTTCACAAGAAGTTCTGGAATTTGGAAGTGTACTTGCACTCAGAGTTTTTACCCTGCTCCTAGACTGTAATGCATCAATACAGTCTGTTAGACTGAAACTTTTATGATTTCGCAGGGGGGTTGATCACCAGCAGCAGAAGGAAGAGAAATTCAGTGGGAAATCTTGAATTTTCAAGCAAAGATTTTACTTTTTATGTGAACAAAATCAAATGGTCTTTTGGCAGAAATTTGCTTTCTCCAAACTCTTTTCTGAAAATTGATTTCTTCCGTGGGAAAGAAACAGGTCAGACCTCAAATTTTACTTTTTTGTTTGCTTTATATGGATAAAGAAAAAGAAGCGGGACACCCAATTTCATTTGCCATGATGATGATGGTAAAGAAGCCAAAGGCAAAGAAGTTCCCAGAACTATCCTGAATCTATAAGACAACTGGATATTGAGTTGATATGGCCACATGGAAGTCTCTTCAGAGTACAAGCTACTCTGGTATTGTCAGACCCAACCTTTTATTTCTGCTTCTTCCACCCCAAAACATGCCAGAGCCCTGTGCTGGGGCAGAGCATCCCTTTGGGATCACATGCTTGGAAGAGCAAGCAAGGACCATACTCAAGCTTCTTAATGTGGCCTTTTGAGTGAGACAGAGGAGGCAAATATCTTCCTTAGCATTAAATATCTCAGATTAAGTGTTTCAATCACCAATAATAGCAAAGCTTTCCACTCTGCGCTGGGGAGGCCACATCTGGAATACTGTGTCCGGTTCTGGGCTCCCCAGTCAGGGAACTACTGGAGAGTCCAGAGGAGGACCACAAAGATGATTAGGGGACTCTCTTATGAGGAAAGAATGGGAGACCTGGGGCTGTTTAACCTGTAGAAGGGAAGACTGAGAGGAGACCTTGTCAACACTTATGAATATCTAAAGGGTGGGTGTCAAGAGGATGGGGTCAGACTCTTTTCAGTGGTGCCCAGTGACAGGACAAGGGGCAACGGGCACAAACTGGAGCACAGGAAGTTCCACCTGAACATGAGGAAAAACTTCTTTACATTAACGGTGACTGAGCACTGGAACAGGCTGCCCAGAGAGGCTGAAGATTCTCCTTCTCTGAAGATATTCAAGACCCGTCTGGGTGCAGTCCTGTGCGACCTGCTCTAGGTGAACCTGCTTTGGCAGGGGGGTTGGACTAGATGATCTCCAGAGGTCCCTTCCAACCCCCACCATTCTGTGACTCCATGATTCTGTGAAAGTGCCCTAGGTTAAGCCTGATTTTCTATCTGCATGACCAGTTTTTTGGCCTGAGTGTGTTCATTCGACATCAGTGATAATCAATTAAAAACTCTCACCTCATTAGCTCTGGCAGGAGTGTCATCTCTGGACTTGGGGGATGATTTCTGTCCAGCACGGTGATCTACCAAGAGTTCTGCACTTGTCATGCGTGCCTGAAGTTTCTCTTCCTCTACGGCATTTGGAGCTGAGCACAAAGTGAGATGAAGGTTTACACCTGATCCCATCACAGGTGCCTGCCCTCCCCTCTGTGGTCCAAAACCACTAGCTGGCTAGCAGAGAGGCACAGGAAGCCTTGGGGCCCATGGCAGTGATTGTAGGGAGCTGCAGACTAACTCGTCCGAGAACTGGGTAGTGCAAATGTCATCCAGGAGGGGTCTCAACCAGGCCATTTTTTAGCGGTGCTCCCTCAAAAGGACAAATCCCAGGGCTGGCCCAATCTTTTATCTCACAGGTACACTTCTTGGGAGGCAGGAAGTGAATTAATGATGCTGCAACACATGCAGTGATGGGAGCAGCAGCAAGGTAATACATAGGAGAGAGCAGAAATGCCCTTCTACTCCTGAAGATTAAATACTGTCCTGCTTTTTGCCTAGGTTTTCCTAATGAAGGAGCATCAGTTGCTTTTAAAATGCTTCCCTTTTCCAATCAGAATCTGTTGAAAGGTATGAGCTGGGCCAGCAGTCACAGAGCCCAGATTTCCACCCTAGTGGGTGAACTCATCTAAACCTGTTAAAAGTTGCCATATCTAATTCAACCCAGTTATTCAGATTTAGTAGAGGCAAGTTAACAATAATGCAACAAAAGAAAATGTCATTGAAAAGGATAAAAGAGAAGCCCAAGTAAAAGAAGACAGAAAAGATTGATCTGGGGCAGGGCTTGCACCAAGTTTTATAAAGTCCAGAAGCTCTGATTCCAAAAATGAGTTTCTGCCATATTCTGCCGCTTCCAAGGAAAACCACCCAGGAACAAACTTGCCTGCGTCAAAACCATGTGGTAAGAGCAGATTGTGCCTGCGATGTGATGCTCGGCCAGCCATCCAGTCTGCTGACTGCACTGTAAGAACACACACATCAGCACTGCTCCTGCCCATTGTTTGGGGCTAGCATACAAATATAAAGGCAGGATGTGTGTCCCCACTAGGGTCAAAGTTTATTACAGGGCCTTTAGCACAAGATGTGGTATTCTTGTGCTTGCAGATGACACTGAATGGGGTGGGAGTGTTCATCTGCTCGAGGGTAGGAAGACTCTGCAGAGGGATCTAGACAGACTGGATCAATGGGCTAGGGCCAACTGTATGAGGTTTAACAAGGCCAAGTGCCGGGTCCTACACTGGGGTCACAACAACCCCATGCAGTGCTACAGGCTGGGGATGAGTGGCTGGAAAGCTGCCTGGCAGAAAAGGACCTGGGGATGCTGGTTGACACCCGGCTGAACATGAGCCGGCAGTGTGCCCAGGTGGGCAAGAAGGCCAACAGCATCCTGGCCTGTGGCCAGCAGGAGCTGGGGAGTGAGCATGCACCTGTAGTGGGCACTGGTGAGACCCCACCTTGAGTGGTGTGGGGAGTAGTGTTTGGTGCAGTTTTGGGTCCCTCACTGCAAGAAAGACATTGAGGTGCTGGAGCGTGTCCAGAGAAGGGCAACGAAGCTGGTGAAGGGTCTGGAGAACAGGTCTTATGAGGAGTGGCTGAGGGAACTGGGGTTGTTTAGCCTGGAGGAGGCTGAGGGGAGACCTGATCACTCTCTACAACTACCCAAAAGAAGGCTGTAGTGAGGTGGGAGTTGGTCTCTTCTCCCAAATGACAAGTGATAGGACAAGAGGAAATGGCCTCAGTTTGTGCCAGGGGAGGTTTAGATTGGACATTAGGAAAAATGTCTTTACTGAAAGAGCAGTCAAGCATTGGAACAGGCTTCCCAGGGCAGTGGTTGAGTCACCATCCCTGGAGGTGTTCAAAAAACGTGTAGATGAGGCACTTCGGGACATGGTTTAGTGGGCATGGGGGTGTTGGGTTGACAGTTGGACCTGATGATCTCAGAGGTCTTTTCCAACCTTGTGATTCTATGATCTTCTGCTTCTAGTTCTGCAGACTGCCTGATTAAATCCCTGGTGTAGAAGTTAAGAGACTGGCTGTCACACAAGTGTGATGCTGATTCTTGCAGACAGCTTTTCTTTGGGCCGAGAGAGACTGGGCAGATTTTGCCGTATTTTTCTTTTTTCTTTTTTTTTTTTTTTTTTAAAACCAAGTGAAGCAGCCTTTTGTTTTGCTAGCACTGGTGGGAGATCGTCTTTGTATACGTTTATATATATTTTCTTATAAATAACATTCAGGTATTTTAAACACAGGATAAATTTCATCCTCCATTACAGGAGTTGGAAGTCTTTAACAGGCAAGTACCCTTTTATAGTTAGTTTTACTGGGTTTTCCCTTACTGTATAAAGGAAGAAGTTTCTAGGTTAGAGATACCGGGGCTGGGTTGGTGGCTGTTTACATATCACCTCCACCCACAGCATTTCCTCTTACCTCCTTTCTCAAGTAGCAAATTGCAGCTGCCTTCCTGGACAGATGGAGGCACAGGATGAGGTTTCTCTCTGCTTTCATCCTCTCTGTCGCTCTCTGCACTCTCCATGGCGGCAGCTCAAACCTGGGCAGCCAAGGAGTAAACTTCAGCAATGAGACTTGCAGCTTCAAAGCTAAAAGTCTAAAGGAAAGGTTAAAAGATCACAAAAATCAGCCTGAGAAGCCCAGGTCTGATCATTTTACACTACCCCCCCCCCCCCATGCAATGAGGAAGAGAACCTCATTTAGTGGTTACAGCCTCACTGGTTTCAAATCTCTCTTCCAGCCATGTAGGGGTTTGCCAGCACCTCTGAGAATGCTCAGGAGCTTGGAAAAATAAGATATTTTTTACATCCTTTCCTGGAAATGTGTCTTCATGAGTGCATTTTGAGGATATTCTATGGATTGGGACTTTCCAGATGAATGCAGTTCAGTTCAGTCCAGCTCTGCTTTGTGAAAGTGAAGGAAAAAGAGCTGAACTTTCTGTCCTGGAGTGTCTCTCTGTGCACTGCTTCCCCCTTTTTCTGGTGTCATTCTCTTCCTCCTCCCTGATGCTGCTCTCAGCCATATTGTGCATTGCTTATCTCTGCAGCTTGCCCTCTAAAAACTTTAAACCTGCTCAGCCCTTTTCCCATGCTTGCAGTTATGTTTTTTCCTCTGGAACAGTGAAACTAGAAGACAGTTCAAAAGACAATTAGTTTTTTCACTTTCCTGACAAGTATTTTTCCTGTGATGCAGAAAGGGGCAAGAGCAGCACATTTTGAACAGCCCTGTAAACCCTCCTGCCTTTGCTTCAGGTGCACAGGGAGACCAGGTGCTCTGTTCTGGCTTGGTCATGAATTGGGACAGGGGAAACTGAGGCAGTGATGGTCTCCCCTTACCCTCATCCAGATGGGGAGAGTCCCTCGTCCCCACTGGGTGCCTGGGCAGCCTGCAGGCTGGAGGTTGGAGGTGGCAGCTCAGGGGTAGCTGAGGCTCTGCACGGCAAGCCCCAGGGCCAAGCTGGGTAGGAGACAGCTGGAGGTGAAGCCCTGGGAGAAACACAGGACTCCCTGGAGACCCTGAAGGGGGAAAGCACCCACATAGACATCCCCCCGAAGCCTCCCACTTCCCTTAGGCTTAAAGCTTGCAAAGGCCTGAGCGAAACCCCAGGGCAGGACCCTGCCCTAGCCCCTACCTTGTGTCGTGGCTGCTGCAGGTGCATCTCCCCACAGGGCTGCGTTGTTGCTGCCTCTTATACCCGCCTCGGACTGCTGGCTGTCATTTCTCAGAAATCAGTGGAAAGTGAAAGAAATTTTCAAGAGGCGGCTGCTTGTTTCCCATCTCAGGAGGCGTTGTCTGAAAAAGTGGGTTCTGTCCCAACGTGACATAAAGCAATTCAGCACACACAGGAGAGATATTGCTTATTTGTTCAGGCTGAACAACCCTGGGTGCTCAGTGGCACTCTGCAAATTGAGCACAAACACCACATAGAGTGTCTGCAGTATTTACACAGAAACTGGTTACAGTGTACACTCCCATTACTAACAAATATTTTACTAATTAGCATAAGTAAGCCTCTCTGTTCTTCTCTTCTGCAGATTCGGGGATTTCTGTTTCTCACGATCTGATCAAAACAAGTCCATAAAACTTTCTTCAAAAGGTCCTAGTTTAGACATTGGGTTTTCTTCTTTCTTAGCTGTGTCCTTGTAGTAATGAATTGTATATTTAGATTTGTCATACAGTCTCCTGCTACTGCTCATTGCCAAGGCCATCCGGCCTTCTATTGTGTTACAGTGGGAGAAGGAAATTCCTCAGCAAGAAAAAAAGCTAGGGCTCTTCCTGCGCTTCCCCAGCACAGCTGCCATGTGGGGGTGCCTCAGCCCCCTCCCACAGAGGTCATGGGGTGCATCGGCCCCATGGATCACACCCCACTCCCACATTCCTTGGGTTCCGCAGTGATGCCACTGGTGTCTCTGCCCCACAGATCCTCCCATGGCCCCAGGGATCCTTACCCCACAGATATTCCCCCATCCCACATGCATATCCCTCTCAGTCCTACAAATACCCTTGTGACTCCAGGGACCTGGGAACTTTCTCCGCCTCCCCCTCCTCCAGCTCTGGCTGTCCCCAGGATCATGAGATACCTGCCACATGTCCAGTGTGGTCCTTCTACACAAGTCCCCACATATCTTTGATGTCTTAGTTCCTTAGATTCCCTCGTGGCCCAGGGTCTCTTAGCCCCTGCCTGGCCCAATGGATACTCTGGATCTCAGCCATGATCTTCTGTTCTTGCACATGGGGCTGAAAGCCAAAGCTCAGTGCCCCACTACTCAGCACGGTGGAGCAGTGCAGCTGAAAAACATGCCCAAGGCCATCAGCAAGACTGCCATCATCAGGGCAGTAGGCCCTGGAGCTGTTAAGGAGTGATCCTCAGGCTGCTGTGGGGAGCCCTGCCCTGCAGCCTTCCCTTCACATCCCTCTAGGTCTTGACTGACAGCCCTGGACAGGCTTAGCATGTGACCCAGCTCATCCTCACCCATGATGGGTGACACGGTGCCTGGAATGCTCCACAGGGGACCCAGGTGTCTATTGAAATTAGACCTTTGTAGCATTATGTTTGATGATACGAAGCTACAACTCTGTGTTCAGAAAATTCAACTTTGCCTCTTGCTAAGAAGATAAAGTGTTTTTCCAGACCTTGCCTCCCCACCCAGAGTGCACACCGCAGTCATTACAGTACAAGGTGTACTTCATTCCGTCTTCCGTGATTCAGAAAGAAATAAAAGAAACTATGTCAATACCTGAGAGAGATTAACAGGCAAATCAAATATGAGACATTTGTAAATTCGTCAGAGCATAATGGCAGCTGGACCTCCTCTGCCCAGGAGAAGCACCCTACCCATAGAAAGCACATTAGGAGCAAGAGGAAGAGCAGTGGGATGAAAGCTCTACATAGCAATAAGACTGCTGTCTCAGACGACTAGGGAGAGGCTGACATATCAATGAACCAAACAGATGTGCAAACAGGGCCAAGAGGACTGCAGCCCATGGGCAAGCTTGACTGTCCAACACTTGCTGCTCACCCTCACACAGTAACACAGATGTTGAGCTGTCGAACAGTTGCTGGTGAGCATCTTCCCCATTGCAGCCTTATCCAGCCCTGC